AAGAATAATGAGTGAACTTTGGAAGAGACGAGCGTTTGCATTTCAATTTTAATAAATGCCTTTGATCCTAATTTCCTTTCATGTTTTGCACCTGCACTGTGATAGAATATTTCTGAATTTGGTTTAGGTTGAATTTGGTGAAATTTTTGTATTTATTTTATTGAGTTTTTGTATAGCTCATATAAGGGGTGTCAGCACACGAGCACAAGTTTTATATTTATTTTAGTTGCTAAAGTTTTTAAGTTCTAGTCAAATATTTTGTACATTCTTTGAGTTGACACTGATTTTGCATTGATGAGGCAAATAAATTTGAAAGGCTATTTGGGTAAAGCTCAGTGTAATACTTGATTTCTTTTTCTTTAATCTTTTCTTTTCTTTCTAATAATGTCTTTGTTTGAGGACAAACAAATAAATAAGTGTGGGGAGATTTGATGAACAATATTTATGTTATTATTTTTAATAAACTTTGTAAGAATTAGTAAGGAAATATTTACTTAATTTTGTATTTTCTCTTATTTTAATAAGCATTGTTAAATTAAAGTTTTTGTTTTATTATTATTATTATTATTGTTATTATTATTATTGTTATTATTATTATTGTTATTATTATTATTGTTATTATTATTATTGTTATTATTATTATTATTATTATTATTATTATTATTATTATTATTATTATTATTATTATTATTATTATTATGATTATTATGATTATTATGATTATTATTATTATTATTATTATTATTATTATTATTATTATTATTATTATTATTATTATTATTATTATTATTATTATTATTATTATTATTATTATTATGATGTTATGTTTGTTTCCATCCCCAAATAAAAGCCGTGAATAGCAGCACTCAGACTCAGGACGCGAACACCACAACAATACCGCGAAAGACGGAACACCGAGAACGAACGACGCGGACAACACAAACGGTAGAGGCTCCGGTCTTGTGAACGTCCGATTGTTCGGAAGCTTCAATGGCAGTTCTTGAGTCAAAGCATTCTGCGGAAGCTCGGACCACAACTTGGAGCGAAATCTCGTGAAAGAATCGAAGGCCCGGAACAGTATAAAAGGGGGGCAAAATCGAAGAGAGGGGATCATCATTTTTCATCACGGAAATTCATCACCTTTCACCAAAAACTTGCTTCAAATACGTCCGTCTGGGCGGAAATTAACTTCGGAAACTCCGGGCAATAATCTGATCCGGTGGCTCGTGAATTCCGGCGGTGCTATCCATTGGCGATCTTGGAAGCATTAATCCGACAGCAAAATTCTGGCGAAAGACTTTTTCGAGCAATCTGGTTCTTTTCTCTTTAAAACTTAATTCTTTAATGTGCCTTGTTTTTCTCTTCCTAAATTTCTGAATTGTAAGCAGCTTAATCCTTGGTTCCTTTTTCATTTTCTCTATCTCTTAATTTGTTGTGATTAGAATTCTTTCAATTCCGAAAACTTTAAACTGTGTTGCAATACTTAATGTTTTATGCTAATTGCATTTACCAATATACTGTTAATTATGCTTAGTTGGTAATGTTGTTTTGGTGAAACATTGAACCATTGAACCATTGATGCCAATTATCATTTCTTTCTTGATTATAAAGGACTGTCAATTTCTTTGTTCTAAGAATATAATGAAAAAGCCATGATCCAACAATAACTGCTTTATCTTGATTTATTATTTAATTGTTTAGTTTTTCCTTCTCTTTAATTCATAGTCTCTCTTCGCATTACTTTGCCAAATTCCAAATTGTGAGTACTGCTTTTAATACTGCATTTTTCCAACTCTTAGCTCTTGAAGCATTGATTTTAATTGTTTGGCACTTGAATTGATTCGTACGATTGATTTTTGTTTCTAGCACGTTAAATTATCGAGTTAATTAACTTTAAGATTATAAATTGCATATTATCAATTCCTCTTGGGTTCGACCCTTGCTATTGCACCATATTACTACAGTGATTCGTGCACTTGCGAGGACATTATAACTAAATTGTCCATCAGAGGGACGACGATCCCAGGAGGGAAAAGGTTGGACTTGGTTGTACAGGGGTCCTGGAGGTAACGGTTGGAACTAGAAATAAGGTTGGGGGTAGCCATAAGGTTGGAACCGGGCATAAGGAAGGCATATCAACTGGTGATGCGTGATGTCACGAGGGCTTGTGTAGCCGTTGTTGTGAGTTATCTTCTTGTGACGTGTGTAGTCACAAAGGCATGTGTTGCCTTGGCATGTGTTGCCATTGGGTGTGTCCTTAATCTTTTGAGTTGTGCATGTCGGGTGTTAACCTATTGTGTGATGATAAATTATACCTTGAGACTTCTTGTGAGTCGTTGTTGTTCTTTGTGGTCTTGGGATGTGTTCCTGTGTTCTTGTTGAGAGTGTTTGAGTCTCATGTTGACTATTACTCTTGGTTTTGTACTTATATATATGTATTCCGTTTCGCAAATGATTTTACAAACATATATCTTATCTATGTATGATATTTCACATGTATTGGTGGGTTACCAGCATTATTCGCTGACCGAGCGTCGTCCCATGTTTTATGTGTTTCTTTCACGTGATGTTTAGACGAGTGCGCGGTTTAGTGCCAGCTAGTGTAGCTCCTCCCTTATGTTTTGTGGCCTGTGAGCCAATTTAGACTTAGTACCTTATTTTGATGGTTTTTAGACGTTGAACAATGCAGATGTTTCCCTGTGCGTTCACCCCTGGGTGAGCGTGGCATAGCACCCCTTACTTCTAGTTTATATATATTTCTCTTTCAGTCTTCCGCTGTGTTTGGTGTTTTGGTTTAGATATCTGCATGTTTAAGGCTTTAAATAGCACGGAATTTAGGGGGTGTTACAGTATATCTAGAAAGGTGAAGAATGCTGTGTCATGTTCAGTAACACTTCCTTCAAAGCGTTTACGACCAGGGTATCGCACGCTCCCGACAAGAACACAAAACTACAAGATAAAACCTGTATAAACTCAGGCAAGATGAACGAATAGCATATGCAGAGAGGGGTCGAAAAACTTGTATCTACAGAGGAGAAGGGAACAGTTTAAATATTGTGTTTGATAACCGCCCACTCTCCACAAGCCACAGAAAATGTCCTATAATGAAGGGAAGGTGTATGACCAACTCACAACACTGGTTTATGGAGATGTTGTGCGGACAAGATGCTGAGATGATCCCAACATGCATATGGAAATGGTTGATTGGGTGGTGGAAAGTAGGTGTGTGGAATTGGAGCAGCTAAGCAGAGCCTTAATGGCTTTGAAAGAATATGAGGGGGGGGGGGGGGGGGGGGGGGTTGCAGATAAGAGATTGTGGCTGGCTGCCTGTCTTTCTTCTTGCTAATGAGGGCAGTGGAGGGAATATGCATGAACCGAAGGAAATAACATTTTTACCCCTCAGTTTGATGGACAACTAACGGAAGGACTAACAAGGTAACGTTTTAGTAGTTAAGGGATTAAATTGAGCAAAAATTTAAATAGAAGACATTTTAAAATAAATCTCAATAGTCAAGAGACCCTATCTAGTATTGACTCATTTTCTTCTCATCTCTTCTATGAAAATAATTTTTCTTCCTATGAATTTGTGCCAACATTTTTGATAAAAGTCAAAGTGTTCTCCGGCCTATTGGTCTAGTTTTCTGAAAATATATAGATTGAGTGCTCAACTATATTATTTTAATCCATTTTATCTTGAGAGACTAACGCTACAACAATCTTAGCACCATTGGGAGTGATAGTGGATATACCTTAGGCTACCGACCCGTGCATACAGAGGACCTGATCGGTCTCGACCCCATGCTTAGCAAGGATTCTTTCCCGGCCTAATCCGACTTCGAGAGGAAACTCGACTAACCCAACCTGAAGATCATTTTTCCTATTAGCTTGATGATGAGCTTATGCTCTTACTCTTTTGTGCTCGATTCCGACCCAAGTGCTCGGCTAGGGCCCCGAGCCCGATAACCATTAGCTAATCAGATATTCCTCTCCACGTAGACGCTTATCCTTAACCTCCAGGACCGGCGAGTGCATGGAGGACACATGTCGCACATGCCGACCTCTCGACATGTGTATCTTTTCGCCTCCTATAAATACCATGTTTGATGCTTGTTGAAGGACCCTTTTCCCTTCTCTTGCTCTAAGACTTACAACAGGAACCCCTGACCTCCAGTCTAATTCGCCCGAGCTAATAAAAATTATACGATAAATTACATTAATCCATATTTTCAAAATATACACTCCAGAGTATTCACAATATCAATTGGCGCTCCACCTGAGTTAGAACATGTATTTAATAGAATCTATTCGGAATACACGGAGTGTATGGAACGAGAGGGAATCAACTTAGCCCCCAAATGGAGCAAGCCTGAGCTTATCCGGACAGTGATTGGGGACGAGGCAATTAACATCCCAGGCTTTTTCAGGGATTGCTATTATGATGTTATGTTACATGGCCCTATTATAATAAAGTAGGAGTTACTCTTTTACCTCTGAATATTGCTCTTTTATTGTCTAGGGAATGCCAAGAGGTTTTTCAGTTTCTGGATCTAATCAACTATGTCTTCTAATCTGAGAACTCTTTGAAAGTGGGAATCCCCCTTTACTTTAGAATAATTATGTATATTATTATGGAACAAACTCTCAGAGCTGCGGAACTAACGAGTCTATTAGAAAGTGGAATTAGCAACATTTACACGAATTTTCAAGTGGATGAGATCGGTCGAGTAGTCGCAATTGGAGATGGGATTGCACGTGTTTATAGATTGAACGAGATTCAAGCTGGGGAAATGGTGGAATTTGCCAGTGGTGTGAAAAGGAATAGCCTTGAATCTTGAGAATGAGAATGTAGGGATTGTTGTCTTTGGTAGTGATACTTCTATTAAGGAAGGAGATCTTTTCAAGCGCACTGGATTTATTGTGGATGCTCCTGCGGGAAAGGCTATGCTAGGGCGTTTGGTCGACGCCTTGGGAGTACCTATTGATGGAAGAGGGGCTCTAAGCGATCATGAGCAAAGACGTGTCGAAGTGAAAGTTCCTGGGATTATTGAACGTAAATCTGTGCACGAGCCTATGCAAACAGGGTTAAAAGCGATAAATAGTTTGGTTCCTATAGGTTGTGGTCAACGAGAACTTATAATCGGAGACCGACAAACTGAAAAAACAGCTATTGTTATCGATACCATATTAAACCAAAAGCAATTGAACTCAAGGGCCTCCTCTGGGAGTGAGACATTGTATTGTGTCTATGTAGCGACTGGACATAAACGCACAACTGTGGCACAATTAGTTCAAATTCTTTCAGAAGCGAATGCTTTAAAATATTCCATTCTTCCATTCTTGTAGCAGCCACCGCTTCGGGTCCTGCTGCAATTTTTGGCCCCATATTTTGGGTGTGCCATGGGGGAATATTTCTGCGATAATGGAATGCACACATTAATAATCTATGATAATTACAAATGTCATTATTGTTACATATTAATAATCTATGATGATTACAAATGTCATTATTGTTACGCCAACCACCAGGTCGTGAGGCTTTCCTACGTGATTTTTTTATTTATATTCTCAAGTGTAATTACATACATTTGAAGTGTTTAGTAATCTAATTAAACTTTTTTTTTTTTTTTTTTTTTTTGTTCAGTGATTTAATTACATTTTTAGGTTATAGAACCTATTTGAACCTTATTTATTTATTTTTTTTTTGTTCAGTGATTTAATTACATTTTTAGGTTATAGAACCTATTTGAACCTTATTTCTATACAATTTAATATTCAACTAATAATTTTTATTGATTTAATACGGAGTATAATTTTACCTAATTGAATCCTAATTTTACCTAATTGAATCCTATATTAGTCATCCGTTTGTTGGTTCCTAGAATCAAAACTAAATTGAAAAAAAAATATTTATAATTAAAGATTAAATCAAATAAAATCACTTTAATCAAGAACTAAATTAGACAAAGTCACTATAATTAAGTACTAAATTTGATAACTTTCGAAAAAAAAAAAGTACTAAATTTGATATTAATAAAAGAAAAATTACCAAGTTATATCATTACAAGAGAGTTCAATTAGATAAAACCATCAAAATCCAAAACCAAATTAAACACAAAAAGTCATTTTAAACTAAATTAAGAAAAACTACTATAATGTTCGTACGGTTTAACTTAGTAGTTTAGTAAGCAATGTTTAGGAGAAAAGAAAAATCACTATAATTAAAGATTAAATTGAGTATTAACTCCTTTACTTTGCTAACATCCACATAATTCATAACTTAATTTTTATAAGGACAAAAAAAGAAGGGGTATAAAATGAAGGCAGTATCCACAACAGGTGACAGGAGGTTCATATTTTCCCAGAAATGCCAGTACCAATGTCTATCAACGACTTCCTTGAAAGATTTATGATTGAATCCGCTATAACTCTAGCACTGGACTTCATGTAACCACCTGAAACATCATACCATATTAAAACACAGATTTTTAGATGGCCTAAATAAGAAGATCACAATGACTTAATAATGACACTTATTCAACCTGATGTAAGCATCAGAAGAGGGATATTTCTCTCCCGACCAAATCTAAAAACCTTTTCATCCCTTGCGGCTATTCCTTCTGGACTGATCTACACACATGAATAAATATGGCTGAATTATCCTTCATAAATTAGCATACAAAAGAGAATCACATCAGATTCCACACATAATTTCCGAAAGGCAGTGGCACAGAATCACAGATCACTAATCCAGCTCTAGTTTAGTGTCTATTAAGAGTCCCACAATGAAAAAATAAGAAAGAACATGTGAATTTCTAAAGTCACGAGTTGAACTAGCTAATTGATTAAATTCAGTATTGTAGTGTTTCGAAACAATAAGAGAGAACATATGGGGCCTTGGGTTAGCCTGTTTGGTTGATCACAGAATATTTGTTTTTATTGAAGCTAGGATTTTATTTCTTGCCATACAAATTTAAGTCTTTAAGAAGCTTACCTTCAATCTGCCCAGAGGATCTCCATCCAATATATCAGTGCCAGCATTATACACAATTAACTCAGGGTTAAATTTATGTTCAGCAACCTGCAGATTCATTTCAAAAATCATACATACATACATACATACATAGGGTTGTGTCTGTTTATGAATAGGTGTTTACTTAAGAGTTATGTGTCTATATATATGTATGATGTATCTTCAATAGAAACATAGAATTATAGAAATATATTGTAACCTTTCAATACTATATACAGTTTCTCATTCCTAGATTCTTCATCTTTGCTTCTGCCTAACTGGTGGGTGGTTGTTATCCTCTACCCGCCAGGCATTTTTGGATCTTTCAAATTCAACATTCTATATACATTAATAACTAATTAATTATTGCCTGTCTTAATTCTCCACATTGAGTCTCCTCAGTTCCTTCATTAAAAAAGGGCCACCACGGCACCACCATCTGTGTTTTCTCATTTGAAACTGAATGAAGAACCAAGTAACGAAAATACAAACCTTAAGAGCTTGATCTAGTTTAGTCAAGTAGTCATTTGTTTCAGTCCCACTCTGTCAAAATTGATTTAACAAAGGTCATATGAGTTTGACGAAACAGAAGCACACAGTAAATTCATATTAATCAGGGGAATTTAATTCTCACCCCAACTTCAACCTTCTGATCAATGTATCTCCTGGCTTCAAAATCCTTAAAAGATACATAAATTAGAAAAAAGACAAGTAGACCATATGCTCATGAAAAACCATATATTGATTCCATTATCACAATTCTTTTGCAAGGGGACACTAGTGAAAATCATGAGGGCAACAAGATAAAGAGGGACGTAAAGCAGGATAAACAATTTAGTGGGTATAAAGTGTTTGGGCAGCAACTCACCAATGGATAAATGCCAGGATTGTACATGTCAAGAATATAGACCCTTCCTGCCAATATCCAATCACAGATCAATCAACAAAAGAAAGGGGTAACCCCAGCCAAGATGGCTAAGGATACAAACTTGTAACCACAAGGTCATGAGTTCGAATCCCATCCTTCTTGGTTTGAGCCAGTTAGCTATGGGCAACCTAGACTGGTTTACCTCGTGGAAATTGCCGGCTAGGGTCACAAGGCGGGGTTTACTCATTGTACACCCTCGGGTAGTGGCTGCGGGTTTTCCTCGTCAACCCAAAAACAAAAAAGAAGCCACAGAAAGCCCAAGAGTAAGGGAAAGAACCATACTGTCATTTGCAAAATCAATTTCATGGCCATTTCCTTGATGTGCATCAAGATCAATTATCATCACTCTGTATATGTAGATAATAAAAATTAACAAATTTTTATGCTCAACAAATTGCTTAAAAGTTTATGTAGGTATAAATTTGCATAAATACCTTGATATATTCAACCTGACAAAGGCAAACTGAATACAAATTGAGATGTCTGCATAAGCACAAAAGCCACCTCCCTTGCTTGCAGAGCAATGATGAAACCCACCACCCACATTGATAGCCCATCCTCGTTCTTTTGCAAGCTTAGCAGACAAAATGGTTCCTCCTACCTATCATAAACTGCTCAGTGAGTAGTTTGAACCATAATTTGTAAAGAAATAGAAGCAGAATATAATTAAATTTCACCTGCTTGCGGAAAGGCTGAAGAACTTTCTGTTGTACAAGACAATTAGGCAGAACTGAGACAGGTGGGACCTACAACGTAGAAGTACAAGATATCCAGAAATCAAAAAGTTCATTACAGGGATTCTTTTGGTTCCAGCTGTACTTTCAAGAAAATGTTACATTAAAAATATGAAGTTAAATTCAAGTCTGACCTCAACAATCATAGCGACATTTATGCTGCTCTTTAAACTAGCCAAGTAGGACTCTGAATGTACCTGTCACCAAAATCACAGATTCTTAGACATACAAATAGAAGTTACAGAACATGAGGAACACGTAGCATGCAAGCTTCACAGCAGGCACAAGAAATTAATACTTCCCATTTATGTTCACATTAGAGGTAAAAGGGTGACATTTTCTTAGTTCCATTGTTAAGTCTGCTCTAGAAAAACAAGAGAGGGAAGGAGAGAAAATAGAGTTTGTTTGACAGACACGCATTTTGACTTTTGAACTAATGGACCCAATATCCAGCAGATGTATAAAGTTCAGCCTCAAGCTCTAGAATCTTATGGTCTATATGCTAAAATCTTCTATAGAGCAAGGATAAGCACATCTGAGTATGTATAAGGCACTACATCAGTACATCCTCTTAAGCAAATCTAAGCAGGTATAAGGAAACTATGCCCAAGACCTTGTGGTCAAGTAGCATAAACTTATAAACTTAGCTAAGCTTAGGAGGTTACAAGTTTAACCCCCAACACTTCAGATGTACTCCCAAAATAGAATCAATTAAATTTACTATTTGTTCTATTCCTTAGTTGGAACTTGTATAGAATCATTTTTCGAGGCAGCAGATCTCTGTTTCCATGATCTCCTGTTCCCTTCTCTGTCATAATGCATTTGCTAAAGACCAAACTGTTCCTATAAAGTCCAGGACCAACACATCACATTAAGTTCCTTTCACGCGCTCATGATAGTATAAAGAATAATGGGCATTACACTAGAATGGAGAAGGATAATTAGATATATAAAATATAAATAGCAAAAAATCCTATAAGTTTCAACTTTCAACATCTTATTTTAAACAAGCACAAATAAAATGCAAGTGAAAAGTGGCTTGCAATACCACTAGGAGATCATCTTTGGTTGCCTCCAGAGGCTCAACTATTTGCTTTTTCTCCAGAATTTTATCTGCAGTGAGGAACTGGCAGATACGACCCCATTTAGAAGAATCAAATGGGTGCCTACATCAATTAATAAAAATGAATTGAACTTCAGAAAGACATTCAGCACAAAATGGTTACCTCTGAAAGGATGAAACAAAAATAAATAAATGTGCATAAAGAAAGGTGGACTATTGACAAGGTACTTGCAAACGGAAAACCAATCATATAAGAAGTAAAATGTTGTTTGCACCAAATTAATTTTTCCACAAAATATTATTAAAATGGTGCGACTTTGGAGGACTATACTTTGGTGACTATATGATGGATTTGCAAAATTCACATATGCTCAAAGAGCACTTGAAGTCCTGCTATATAATAAATGTTACATCAATAGCCCAATAGGATGTCAATATAAAATTATGATCAATTTAGTTAGGACTTTCTAGATTTCCAGCACGTTGAAGTTAGGGGTTTTTGTTCAATCATGTACTAAATATTGAGTCATCTAGTTTCATATTCTTGTAACATATAGTAGTGATGACTCAAGAATAATCTATTTACTTGCATAAATTTAAATGTAATTATGGATTAAATGGAAGTGAAGCTATAAACATATTAGTGAAATATTGCATAATACTCATAGTGTTTTTGCCTTCCTAATATTCTGTAGTTGTAGACTTGTAGTTGTCTAATAGTGGTGTTTTTCAGTTCCTCACATTCTATAGTAAAACACTTCCATTTTGAAAAAAATCACTAAGCAGAATTTAAATTTAGAAACTTACAGAAAAAGTAAAAGTATAATAATTACCACAATAATAAGAAGAATTTAAATGTAGTACGCCATTGATCATGAATAAATGTGTGCCTTTATTTTAAAAAAAAATGTTAAACATTTTCAAAGAAGTATAACTGCACTGGTTGTTTTCGAACATCAGTTACATATCGTGTTTACTCTGGCATTCAGTCTTCCTATAAATTTAAGTCAGAAATCATAAACTGCCAAAAACAAACATAAAATATATATATTCCATCTCCACATTCTCCCACCTTACTCATGCAAGACTGGAATTATCTTATTGAAAGTTCACTCAATTAACAGAGTCTCCAAAGAAATTCATCAAGTGTACTCCAAAAGCAATACAAGTATTACTCCAAATGCAGTAAAACCATATACTAACCCAATAAAAGGAGAAAAACACAAAAAGCAGATATATGGGGAGACAATTCCAATAAAAGGAAAGAAATAAATCCTTACAACTTTTCTATGCCGAGAAAGGCGATATTGTATGAAGATGAGTAGATAAACGGAGCCTGGTTCAACAAATAGAAGTTAAAGTTCAGTTAAGAACATTTGATAAAGTGTAGCTAAAACAATCGTACATACACAATACATTGTATTAAATTCTAATAGAGCTAGTAGCATTCAAAAAAAAAAAAAAAAAAAAAATACAAGTGTTGTAATTTTCACAATTATTCAAAAAATAATACTAATTATTTCCCGAAGAATAAAATAGATATGAATTATATATCTAGAATCAATTTCTTATTTACGCATAAAGTAAACCTCTTTCTTAAAAGGAGCCATAGAGGTGTGTTACCTTAGAAGGAGGCACGTCGAAATAGAGCTTCCTTGAGAGAATTCGATTTCGACGGGCTTCGACGTCGTCGTCGTCGTTTTTAGATATCGGAGAAGGGCCGCCGGACGATGAAGACATCGTGGACCTTCGGCTAGTTGAGAAGAGAAGCGAAGAGTTGAGGATAATGCAACGATTGAGGGAGCGGTGAAGTTTAGCGGCGATCGGAGGGGAGATTATATTATCCGGCTGACGCATAGAGGATCATAGCTCACTTCCGATTTATGGCGGTTGGGAGAGAGGTGTTGAGTTTGACTCGGCGAGTGTGGGAAGAGCTAGACGCTGCTTCGGAGATAGGTGTCAGTAAAGCTATGCGGAGCATGCCACGTGGAGCGGAGAAAATTACATATGAGCCCCAGCAGTTGCTTAGGGAAAATGCTTCCCCTCCTAAATTTCATCTTCAATGTTATTTTTTTTTGAAAACATCTTCAATGTTATTAACATTCATTTATTAGGTGTTATCAACTCCATCACTAATTCAAAATAGAATTTAGCTATCAATGAGAGGTGGTCACATCATGAGGGAGGAATTGAAGAGAATGTTGTATTGCAAGTTTATTTGCAGGCCTTTAGCTCGTGAAGAACAGTAAGAACAAGAAGAAGAGTAGAGACAAAATAGAGGGTTTCTTATTCCTTTATATCACACCTATGATCATTACATTAGAATGACATATATATAATAACAAGTGTAACGGAATACAATAATGGCAAGTTTATTTGCAGGCCTTTAGCTCGTGAAGAACAGTAAGAACAAGAAGAAGAGTAGAGACAAAATAGAGGGTTTCTTATTCCTTTATATCACACCTATGATCATTACATTAGAATGACATATATATAATAACAAGTGTAACGGAATACAATAATGGAGACATTAAGGAAACCGTTACACAATAATGTCCACAATCATTACTATTTATAACACTCCCCCTTGGACATTATTTGTTGATGATCTAGCCTCGTTTTAAAAACTTTCTAGGAAAACCCTGTGGGAAAAACCTAGACAAGAAAAGAGTACAATAGAAAATATATTCATGCCTCATTAAAAACTTCACTAGGAAAACCACGTGGGAAAAACCTAGTTGAAGAAAAGAGTACATGATATATATAAAAACATATATTGTATTTGGTCGCCTCATTAAAAACCTTAACTTAAGAAAACCCTGTGGGAAAAACTTAGTTAAGGGAAAAAGAGTACAACCATAAGCCTTCAGGGCGCAAACCGCATAATCTTCAGGATTTTGGGGTTTGTCCATTTAAGCAATTATTTTGCAACTTTTCCTCATTGTCATTACTATATCATACTCATGCCTCGTTAAAAACCACACTAGAAAACCCAATGGGAGAAAACTAGTGAGGAAAAGAGTACATGATATTTATGTATTTATGTGTTGCAAATAGTGCGCAATTGTTAGTCTTTTATGACTTAATCTTCAGGATTTTACGTTCAATGTTCAATCTTCCGGATTGATTCGAGTAAATGTACTTCCAGTCTCCCCCTGAAGATAACAATTTTCAAGTTCTACATATATTTCAAATTTTGAAGAGATGGATTGGACAAATCTTCTGGATTGTCACTTAGAGTAGTGTACAATAATCTTATGGCTCTTCTAGAGCTAATATAACATTTGTGCAACACAAGTGTTATTGTCCTCATTTTGAACATTTAGGGAAATTCATTGTATAATTAGTTTGGACTTGGCATTGCGGGGATCAAACAAAACAGCCAGTACCCGAGTAGCCTATTAAAACCGTATCATGGTTTCTTACATAAATGTCATGTCTTTGTATCTCGAAGATACCGGAGGATATGTTAATCATTATTCAAGTACTTCATTTGTAGGGGGAGCACTAGATTTTGCTAGCAATTTTATCACAAATATGTTGCGGTTATGGAACTTCTGGTTTTATAATGGTGCTCCAATGATAATGAAGTAAGGGACTTCGAGTCCAAAAAGGTTCCTTATCTACTTCAAGAGATTATTAGGAAACCTTTAGTTTGATAAAAACATGACACTTATATGCATATAGACATATGAAAAAGCATTTTTAGATGTAGGCTGACTGGTGTATAAAAAAACTGTAAAGAAAAACTCGATCTTCAAGTCGAGATAATACTTATAGCTTTCACAAGCTTTTTGTTTCAAAAGTCTCAGTCTTTAAATATGAACTGACATCATCAAGCTCTTTATATCTTTCATTGATGTTTACACCATCAATCTTGACTGAGATAATAAATAATAAATAAGTTCATTATCAACCCTTTATCGAGCACACAATGGTACATATTATTCCTTCAATGAGGATATTAACTCCATTCGCAACCCTTTAAAGAGTAGATAATGACACATAATAATACTTAAAAATGAGAATTATGAATCCATCAGGGATTTCTCAAGATAAATTTAACTGCATATCTAAATTTATTATTCTGCCAATTGTATTATGTAGCGGAACTTAATGCCATTTACCGTGGGAGATTATATTTGATTAAAATCAATTAAGGGTCTCTGCGTGAACCCATAGGCTACAAACTCGCTTTATCACCTCATTATTCTTATTTCTCTTTCATGCACACACCCATTTGTAACCTTCAGGGTTAACACTCAAATGGTGTATTGTTATAAAGAGAATTTATTCATTTTAGCGAGTCGAGCTATGCCTTAATTGCTCCTTTATATATTAAATAGTCATGGCACTTCTGGTGCCTAACTCTGGATCCAGATTATATAACGAGCAGTTTGTAATAGCAATTGTGTTGTCGACAACTATAACTTTTTTGTAAAACTCCCATATTTGTAAAAGTAATGGCAATTTCTAAAACAACCAGATTCTAAACATTTCCCAAAGATATTTTGATGTGGTCGTTCCGCATCCCTAGTATTACGTTTGTTTGGTGCACCTATAAGTCTTACCAGGGTTTTTCGTCATCTGGACGAACGTCTGCAGGACATAATTATTCAAACTATTTCAAGAGTGACAATATTTCTTTACTAGATCTAGTATTATGATTCATATCTCTTTCACCGATAGGTCTCCTACACTTCTGGTGTCAAGGAGCATCGATAGATATGTTTGGTCCAAGGATATATGACCTAGTCACTTCTTTTATGATCATTATGATCAATAGATGTATTCGGCAGATTATTTGCTAAAATTGCAAATAGATTATCTTTTGAACTTCCAGTTCAATCTAACTAGTACATGGATTTAAATAATGAAGATGTTTTTATCCTTATGAAATTTCTTGGCATTCCAAAAAGCTACGGAGTAGTATATTATCTCCCCCTAATGCCGAGAAACAATCTTCATTAGGAATGCAGTCAACGTACCCAATTATATGTATTGATCCCCTATCATGGGCTTTCTGTATTTAATCAATAGACGGAGGTTTCTTTGATAGCCCTTTTAGAGGTACGTTGTGGTGGTGATATAAAATAGACTGCGCAAATAAAATAACGCAGATAGGAAAATGTTACTTCTGAAATCACGTACTAGGTGAAAAAGGGGGTATAGCAATCCTTGAGGGATTGATTTGTGATATGCATTGAGTTAGACTTGGATAAAAAGAATTTGACTCATAGTAACGTCAAACAATCCTTCGGGGATTGATGGGATAGGTTGACCATTTTTGGTCAAGAATTCATTGTCAAGATTCATCCTAAAAGGATGACTTAGAGAATTAAAATCATTAATCTACCTTCTGGGCAAATAAATATACAAAATAATGAGGGCTATAAATTTAAATATCATATGCCCAAATCTCATGTCAAAAAGTTTCTATAGCAGAAACTAGCACTGTAAACATGTCATAGCCTTTAACTATTATCACATGCAAGCTAAGGTTTAGCAACGACAGGTGCAACCTAACCATATTGAGAATTCATGCTATTTTCCACTTATAAGTTGGGTGATAAATCTCAATAGCTATGGCCTATAGCAAATCATAAATTGCCAACAAGATAAATAACAAAATCTCTTATGTGAACATAATCAAGAGATTATATGCTAAATGTTGTCAATTAAAGAGAAGCACATGCAACATGTGATATAATTGTCCCTTATGTCTTGGACACCAAACACTCAATTGAGTCATGCACATCCATTAAATAAAGAATATCATGTTTGGTACACACAAGGCATGACATGACAAGAGATATTGTTTATTAATTCATAAATTATAAAAATGAGAGAAGTACCGTTCGCCGAATAATAATGAGCACATGTTCGCTGCCGGGCCCATTCATTCCTATTTCGGGGCGTCAAAAACAGCACTTTTCCAAGCAAACTCTCATTTTATTTCATAGTTTCATATCTCAGCATGAAAACATCACAAAATAGCAAGATATACAAGCTGAAAACGGCAGAAAATTTTCAGAATTTTGACCTGGATTGCAGAATTTTCTGGGGGAAAAAGGTAACACATTTTGACACAAAATTTGGCAGATATGTAGTTCAGTAAGTCTAGAACGTACATAAAAATTTTCATGTCAATCCAAGGTGTGAAAGTATTTTTTCTGAAATTTTTCACAACATTGCTCCAGGCAGAAAAATAATTGGCAGCACACTGCCAAAACTTTACAAATTTTTCTGGAATAACCAAAGTATATTTTTAACAAAATATTTTTACAGACATCAAATATCACGAGTCTAGGTTCTCCAGAAAAAATTTCATGCCAAAAGGAGTTCAACAAGTATTTTTCACGAATTTAATTTTCAAACTGCGCCGGTCAGAATTTTCAGGCAGTGATTACTATGTGTAAAAAAATCACAACTTGTTTGCTTCAGGCAAACCAACATGATGTGAGTCAATATTGACTTTTGGAGAGTAGCATAGCATTAGAAATAGAAGTTGCAAACTTCATTCATGAGTCATTAGTCACCTTAAAGATCAATCCACATTCAGGGTCTTCCAGACCTTATTAAAAAAAATAGCCCAATGACCAAACACTTAGCATAATTTTGTCATGTACTACTACTGGAGTACAATACGACCATTGACAATAAGACCCGCATACACCAAATATCCTTCAGGGATTGACTTAGGGTCTATAAATCCTTTTAGATCAAATATCTATAATCGAGGGTTGGGGCAAGATAATGGGTGACAAATAAAAATAGTGCTCTTGATTTACCTTCTAGGCAAAACTATATTTAGAATTCAGACTATGACCACTTGTTCATTAAAACGATCCTTCAGGGATTGTCCCATAATAAACAGTGGCTTTGATTTGCCATCCGGGCAAAGCTTCTAGTAAGATTTATAATAAATCTTAAAATATATGGCGTATAGCAAACAATTGCTACCATCAAGAGCAAATCAGTAAATGCTCTTTTGTGATAACTCACATCCCTGTAAGGCATGAGATAGCAATTTGTGACACAACAAAAATTTGACACTTGA